AAAGAGTCCCCTTCAGGAGCCCCATACAGGACTCTTTCCAGGGTCTCCAAGAAGGCCGTATACTCTGAACTGCTGTTGGGTGCATAAGCACCAGATCCAACTGGTAACGCTCCACCTCCCGCACAAGCTCCGGCTCCTTCCCCCCCAGAGAGGTGACGTTCCACGTCCCCAAAACCAGCTTCTGTCGCCCGGGTCTGGTCCGTCGAGACCCTCCACTCTCACTGCCACCCTTCTGGCAGCGCAGCCGACCCCATCGCTGTTTCCCGTAGGTGGTGGACCCGCGGGACGGAGAAGCAGAGGTGTTGCCCACGTTGCCTTTTCGGGCTGTGCCCGGCCGGGCTCCGTGGCAAGCCCGGCCACCAGACGCTCGCCGACGAGTCCTCCTTCTGGGCCTGGCTCCAGAAGGGGACCCTGGGCTTCCTCCGGGCCGGGTATCCTCACTTTGTGTGTTGTCTTTCATGAGGTCTTTTGAACCAATGTTAGTCTGGCCCCTTGCCTGAGACCAATTTGCCATGGGAGACCCTACCAGGAACACAAGGTTCCAGACAACACAGCCCCCAGGTTCATCAGGGCACACAAACCTCTCTACCACGGTAAGGTGGTGGTTCTTCAGAGAGGCTCTTTGTGGTCAATCCTGGTTATTATTTTGATATGAGACTATTGAAGTGTATACTGTATAGTGCCTATAGCCATGTCGCTAATTTAGCTGATTCCAGCACTTAAATAAGTAAGGACTCTGTTTGTTAACAAGATGAATGATGGACAAAACTAACGACCACATTGTTTTTTTACTCTAATTATCTCTTAAAGCAAAGTCTGAAATGTTTCTCCTTCCTGTTTCTGTGTCAGCTCCAGAAGAGTAAGGAAAGAGAGGAGAGGTTGGAGGAAGTCATCCAGGCTTATGAGAAGATTCACCTGGAGAAGAGCAACGTCCAGAGGGACCTGGACAAGATGGTAAACACACACACACAGACACACACTGTTTGGTGGTAATACAACGTTTGTGTTAAGTGTCGAACAGCAGTTTGTGCTTCAGTTTCACCGTAATGTGTGTGTTTGTCAGACCTCTCTGGCAGAGCAGCATGTGGAGCAGATCTGCGGTCTGGAGTCGGCTCTCAGACAGAGAGAAACATCTCTGCAGAAGCTCAGCGTTCAACTTCGCAGCAAAGACGCACACAAGTCTCATCTGCAGCTGCACGCCAGCCTGGACGTTCCCAGAGGTGGGTTCTGTGTGGAGCAGCAGACAGAGATGCACTGTGCCCCGGTGGCGGACTGTGTGCTTACATGTGCTATTTTCAGTGCATAAGTGCATCCCAATGTGAAGCATGGTGAAATGCTCTATGATAACCCAGATGGTGCACTCCTAACGGTCAAAGAGTGTGGATCGATCCACCCTCCTCATGCTTAACAACCACCGGCCGTGATTTTGGTTGCTTTGGTCAACACAGCACTATACAAATAAAAGTTAACATATTTTTTTCTTACACCAACTATAATAGTGTCAAAAATAAGTAATAGTAAATAGTTAGGGTTTACTTAAAAGACAGATGTCAACGCTAGGAGCTCAAAATCCTCAATTTTTTTCCATATAGAGTAAGTTAGCCCTAGTGGTAAGTATATAAAGAAGAATGTAAGATTTACTGTAACACTATTAAGCTGCTTCTAGTTGTGGAGGCAGTAATCAAAAGGAAACTGCCATCTGAATCCTTTTAAGCTTATTCCTCCATTAATATGGGGGTGGCAGTAGCTCTGTGACTTGGCTTCAGAACTGGAGGGTCGCCAGTTAGGGTTAGGGTTAGAGAACGGACCGAGTTTGGACTGTTGACTAGTGCTTTGAGAAGATGTATAAAAGCTGCCAACTGCTCCGAATATAAGAACGGGTTAAATTCGTATTCTTATTTTTTTAAACTTTATTCAATAATTATCGCATTACATCAGAAAAAGCTCGTAAAACATCAGGATTTAGTACATTAATTCAAAACTGAGGGCATTATTAACCGAAAACATAAAAAAAAAAAAAAAAAACACAAGTTGTCACTCGTTGAGCTTTTTTACTTTTTCACAATTTAATTAATTAATTATATAATTTCACGTTATTAAGAAATGCATAAACACTAGGGAAATATCGATAAAATAACATTTTTGTATGAAATATCTTGTTAAAGTAATAAAATGAGTCATTCCAAATTCAGTTTTTGGTTTTACAAAATGCAAAGCCACATTTTATATTATCACACGTTATGACCGGAAAGTTCTTCTAATTTTAAACTGGAAAGCATCCCAAAATATTTGAACTACATTGAAAGAAAAGAAAAGATGTTCTAATGTTTCAATAATCAAATTACAAAGAGAACGGGCTAAATGCAGAGACTTATTTTCACGTCCTCCATTAGACCAGTGTCCTGACCTGTACTGATGTGTGTGTGGTTCTGTCAGAGGGCCGGGGGGGGGCGCTGCAGAGCTCCCGCAGCCTGGACGCTCTGTCCGACCTGAAGCTGCAGCGCCTGGAGGCCGAGCTGGAGGGGGCCCGGCACCGGGAGGAGGGGGCCTGCCACCGGGAGGGGGAGCTGAGGGCCGAGCTCAAGAGGCTGCAGAAGGAGGTCGCAAAGCTGCAGGAAGCACAGAGACAGGCCCAGGATCCCCCCCCACACTGTGAGCACTGCGACGTAGAGTGGATAAAGAAGGCCGGGGACGAACAGTAAGTGTGACTCGGAAGCAGTGTGTATATCTGTCAGATTGTGATATGTTGTTATTCAGACTGTGTTGTTGTTGCAGGGTTAACCTAGCATTAGCCTACACAGAGCTAACGGAGGAGTTGGGTCGTGTTCGCAGTCTGGCTGTGAAACAGAGCGACCTTCTGCAGCACGTCTCACAGGAGCCTGGTAAACACCCCAGTGGATTCTTGTGTAATTAACTTCATGGTATCATTAGATATCATAAAGAAGAGTCTATACTAATGAGAAGATATTGAGAAAGTTCAGAAAAATCGACTGGAGACAGGCATAAGCACACAGAAACTAACCACTTGACAAAACACAGCTGGAAAGGGCTGGTCAAAACACAGGAGCAACAGGTGATTACACACAAGTGGAAAGAATCAAGGCGGGGCAAACTAAGCACAACAGGCGGGAAACTCCAAAGACAGGAAGTGAAACAGACAAAAGCAAGGTGTTTCACGAAACACACAAAAGGTTGGGGTAGGTCACATTGGAGAAGCCAGCAAAACTAAGTTCGATTTTTTAAACTGTCTGGCCTGAGAGACCCAGCCCAGTGTTGCCAACTATTTTCCAATAAAGTAATAGGAGCTCAGTTTAAAGATAAAGGTGAAAAGGTTCAATAGGCATGTTCATAGTGAATTTGAGGCTTCTTCACGACCCCAAACGTTATTTTGTGATCATGTACGTTTAGTATTCAAAATGTGTATTACAGTCGAAGCAAAGCACATGTGGCTCAGGGGGAATATGGGGCATCTATCAATTTGAGGGTCAGTGGTATGATCCTCAGCCCACACGGCAAGGGATAGGCAACATGGCCAATCACAAAGACATAATCCTAATAATTAGCCTCCGCTAGGTATTTAATATTAGCTGCGATGAGGCCGAGTTACAGGGACAATCATGTATTTTCATCACCTTACACACCAAGCAGTCACCAGAGAACTCGCCGACGCCGACTGTTGCGTCGGCGCGTTCTTCTGCGTCTTGGCCATGTGTCGCACTGGAACACACCGCAAAGACTTCAGCCGAGCACGTACGAACTGCACATGCATGAGTGGCAATAACTCTCCTTACCAGCAGGCGGCGGTAGTGTGTATTCGTCATTCAAAAGAGGCAACAACCAGAAGACAGAGAAGAAGAACAGACTGCGTGATCTAAACAAACAACAAATAGCGTGTGCGTTCCATTTTCACTCTCGTCCATCGAAAACATGTTTCGTGCGGTACTGGAGCTATCAGCCATTGGAGTGTTGCTTTTGGAAGACATTCTCAAGCAACCGTTTCGCTTCTCATGCACTGATTCGCTAGCTGAACAGCCAATCAGAGTGATTTCTTTGTCCGACTGCCTGTGGCCAAATAAGGCGTGTCACGGCCGACGGTGCGGGACACACCAAATTGAGTTTGGACGACAGGGCACGCTTCGTCGTCCGACTAACGAAAACGGCCGATTTCGGCCTGGTGTGTCAGGGCCTTAAGGGCACAATGGCTGAGGCAACCGTCAGTCTGCCCAAGGGCCGGAGGAACTGAATATAAGGCACCATCTTGCCCGGCCTGAAGATGGGAAAAAGGTGGGAAATGTCGTCCATGCGATGAGGTGTCAGGTAGGCCCTCATGGCGACAGAGTCTAGGACCATGATGATGCTGTATGATGTCCCTTTTGTTGTTCTGTTTATGTTTTATGTTTCATGTGGAACCTACTTGAGCAGGTCTCCCTTGAAAAAGAGATCAATGATCTCAATGGGATACACCTGGATAAATAAAGGTTTGAAATTAAATTAAATTGAAC